TCTAACACATAATAATAAATTCATGATGGGTTAAAATAAATTTTCCCTGTTATTAAGAAGGGGCAATTACAAAAATACCACTTTTTGTGTGCACATTTGCAAAAATGCCACTTAGGGGTGTCCATTTACAAAATATCACTAATTATAGATTTATAAAGTCTATACCTTAAAATTCTAAACTCTAAAAAATGTTTTGACACCTAAAACCTCCTAAACACTCAAAACTAAACCCTAATATAACATAGTTAACCCAAACATAAATTATATAATGAAAAAATAATTTTAAAAAGTGGCATTTTTGTAAAGTGACAATTGGAAAGTGATATTTTTTGAAATTTCTCTATTTAGAATATGATTTAAATTCTGATAATATATATTTTTGGATTTGAATTATAGATATTAGAACATGAGAGTTATGATATAAATTGATTTTTACTGGTTTTAGGATATACTTTAAATAATATTTTAAATTTAACGGGTTACTAATTAAAACTTAAATATTTATTTTATTAGTTTTTGTAGTATTTATCCGCGTATTAACGCGGATTCTATTCTAGTAATAAATGAAAATGAAATAATTTGATTTAAGAGAAATTTGGAAAATTAAGACACATTGACTTTCGATCAAAAGAGAAGAAGAAGAAGACAAATTGACCTTTTTATTATGTTCCAATACATCTTTTAGTGTTTCACTTTGTCTAATTATGCTTTAGTTAAAGAGAAATCCGGCTTTGTCCTCTAATTTAGTTTAAAAAAAATTGTTTTGTTAAACGTATTGGAAACTGGAAGATGAGAGGACACCACTCTCTGTGATGCGGTTCTCAAACACATAAGTAAAAAAAAATAAAAAATTAGGTCGAAACACATAAGTAATAATTTTTTCTTCCAATCGAACTTGATGTTAATAAGTCTTTACCTTAAGTTTAATTTTCCATGAAACAACCTTGACAAATGGGAAATATTCTCATCACTTTTTGGAGCTTCGTTGAAAAATTCAATTTTTTTTTTTTGAGGAAAAAATTCAAAAATGTTTCTATTTAAATCTGAGAACCTCATATAAGTTTTAAGTTTAAATAGCTGCAAATACTGGAAAATCAACACCCATAAAATATTTTAGTTTATCTATACCTTTTAGTTAATTTACTATGTGAAGAAAAAAGTTTAAATACATGATCACTATGCTGAACATAACAAATTTAAATAAAATTTGATAGATTTAACTATAACTACTTCTTTGATGTCACAAAGAGATAGTTTCGTATACTCACTCATATGGTTTTACTATGTGATAGTGAATGCTCTGTTAAAGCGTGATGGCTGATTTCCTTTTCTAATTCCACGGAAGGATCATATACTATTAAAAAAAAAATGCAAACACACAAAAATATCTTACAGCATAAAAGGGCACTATAAAAATTCTTTAA